ATTTATCTTAAGCGAACTCTATGCCAAGATGAATAAACAGAAGCAGTTTGAAAATTTTTAAGTCAAACATAAAAACAGGTCATTAAATATGAATAATTTAAAGAGTAAGAGTCCGAATACGGTCGAAAATTAGATTGTAAATTGTAGAGTGTAGGGAAGTGTTCATAGAATAATATTTTGATAAATTTAGTGAATTAGTTGGAGGTGCCTCCAAAACTTTCAACCGTTCCAACAATTACGTAAAAATTGTTACATACGTTTAGTAAGATAGGCGTTCAGAAAAGAATAACGCACTAGCTCGAGGTGGTAGTAAATTTTTGTTTAATAAAATTATTATACTCTGCACTAAATTGACATGGGTGTGAATGGCACTGATATCCGAAACATAAGCAAAATAGTAGTATCTGACAAATTTTGCCAGTTAGTTCATTAATTATTTGCAGTTAAAGTTTACAGTTTCAGTGCTGAGAGATACATATCTTATTTATATTAGCTTTCTCAGTCGTATTACGCTGTTGCATGGTTAATATGGGAAATAGATGCCATTTTTCCTAATAACCACTGCGTTGAGTACAATCTTAACAATATAAGAGATGTATAATCAAAAATAAATCAGAAACATGCAAAGAAGTGGTTAGTATAACACAGGACTCATTGATGCAAGGTTATCCTATAACTAAAGATTTTACCCATTTGTTTTTTGAATTCAAGACATATTCACGCAAGAGATGTAGTGAGTTTTTTTTCTGAAGGTCCTCATCATTATATCATCGCGCTATTTACATGTAGTATTTTCCTGAATAATCAATTAACTAAATGGTCTTCAACTTCACTTATTCTTTCACCTTGGGTGCGGTGTTATACTCACTTTCACAATTGTACTACTTTTAGTAAAAACTTATTTAATTTTTAAACTTAGTATTGTAAAATATATTTTTCTTTACTTTATAATATTAAAAGTTCACGTTCTTAGCTTTAAGGTTTTAAATAATCAATCTACACTTTCAAATTCACTTGTACTTCACTTCGATGAAAATCACTCGGCCGGGAACGTTTTGATGTATAACCTTATAGGTCACGGATGAAAGCGAAAAGAGCCATTCTGGTCTGACTGGTCCCTTTTGATCATTCGGGTGGTGAAAGACTGGTTGCAGTGGGTGTATAGTGTAGATGTAGAGTGTGGTTGGTTAATTGTATATGTGGGAGTATATGGTAGGTGGTGTATGATGTTGCGTTGTTATGTTGTATTGTATGATGTTGTACGGTGTGAGCTTAGTTGTCGCGGGATTGAAGTCGCATGAAATCCCGGCCCCTAGGCGAATTAATGTTGCTCAGAAGTTCTGAACGTTGTAGGCTCACTATGGCGTTAATCCGTGCCCTTTGCTGGTGATGATAGGGTGGTGGAGGTGGCCGAGCGTGCCCTGGATGGCTTCGGGCGACTTTTGGCGCTGGACGGGACTTTTGTTGTCTGTGCCTGCATCTGCTGCGACGGAGT